CTAAGTGAAGAGGTATTCCTGCAACAACCGCTTGGATTTGAAGAATATAACTCATATGGTTCTCCTCTGGTGTGTAAACTTCAGAACACACTGTATGGTCTTCGACATACACCGAGAAACTTGCATGAAAACTAAAAGGTAGTCTGCTTAACCTTGGTTTGAAGCCTCAAGAGTTGATACGTCGTTGTTCATACGAAGAAAGAACGGTGTGTGTACGTAAATTTTGGTTTATGTGGATGATATTATACTTAAAGTACACTCTGATGCTAAGATTGATAGTGTTGTTCAAACTCTCCAATGTGAAGTTTTGCTAAAAGATCTTGGCCCTCTTTCCTACTTCCTTGGTATAGAGGTTAAAAGGATTAATGTCACTCTTTCCCTTAGTCAAATGAAGTATATACGTGAGTTGCTGGAAAAAAAACATGCTCAAGGCCACACCCATACCTACACCTATGGTGGTTATATCCAATCTGGTGGAGCAATTTAGTGATCTGCTTGCTAATGTTAGTGAGTATCGTAGTATTGTTGGGGCTTTACTTTATGTTTGTCACACTCACCCAGATGTGGCGTTTAGTATAAAAAAAAAGTCACATAGTTTATGCATGCTCCGTGTGTTGCTCATCTTGTGGGTCTCAAGAGGATTCTCCGTTATTTGGCTGGCACTCTCGATCGTGATCTAGTGATCGCCGTTCTATATCTGGTTATGTTGTGTTTTTAGGTCGTTGTCTTGTTGCTTGGAGCTTGATGCAGCAGCAAACAGAGTCTCGATTTACGATAGAGGCTGAATATCGCACCATAGCTTATGCTGCTGCCATGGTTACTTGGGTTGGTGCTCTATTAGCTGATGTAGAGATTGACATTTGTAGTGAACCTGTTATGTGGTGTGATAATACCAGTGCCATGGCGTTGAGCGCGAATCCTCTTTATCATGCACATTTGAAGCATATTGACCTGGATATTCGTCCGTGAGAAGGTGTCTGCTCGTCAGCTTCGTGTTATCTATGTTTTATCCATTTGTCAAGTGGATGATGTTCTAACGAAACTGTTGACCAAGGCTGCGTTAGAGAACTTTTGCGAAAATGCATGTGTGTTGCCTTGTTAACATGCAGAAGGAACTTGGAATGAGTATGGAGAATATTGGGAATGAAGCTAGTCCCACAAGTGCTGAAATAAGCATTAAGCAGATCCAAAGTGTGCACTATTAGTTGCACGGTTAGATGGTTGTTGAAGAGTAGTTAGGTGGTTAGGATTTCAGTTAAGCCTAATCTACTTAGTTCTACAAGATAGTCGTGCACCAGCAGGTGCTATAAAGGTTGTGTAATCTTTTGTGTAATCAAGAATTCTAGTGCATGAAATAACAAATTAGTTTTCTGGTTGTTATGAGCTTTACGTAGTTTTCTCAACATTAATTTTAATTTAGATGCTTATTTTTAATTTGATGTTCTTTTTTATCATTTCTTTTGATTTAGTATTGATTTTGCTCAAATAAATTTTAAATTTGATTTTATAACAAAAACACACGTTAGTATAAAATATAAACGAGATAAATTATTGAGGGTTTCATGCAATTTAAACATTTGAAATAAAACAAAAATAAGGGGGTTGGAATGTAATTTTACCATAAAACAACTAATCTAATTGTGCAAATGGAAAAGATAACCAGAGAGTGAAGTGCGATGGACTTTCACGCGTCGGCAGTTGTGAACAAATGAGAACCAATAATTGTGGTTGGTCTGGAAGGGATGAACGATGGTCGGAGATGATTCTTCGAAGGTCATTGTGCGTAAAAAAAGGAAAAACAAACGGACAGCTCAAACGACAAAGCTTCTCCTTCGGGACAACTGAATGCTGGGTGACATCGAATTGGGTGACGACAAACGGAAGTGATGGATGTTGTAGCAGTGGATATTTCGACGAGTTAAGGTGGTCGTCCACGATGATTGATGGTGGTAATCGATTCTAACATATATAACTTAAATATCCTAACTCTAAACGAATTAAATTACTTAAATTAATTATATTTTTAATAAAAATTATAATTTTATTAAAAGTATAATTAAATTTTAATAAATGATTAATTTTAAATAAATTCTTATTTTGTAAATATTAAAATTATAATTTTAATAGAATTATAATTAAATTATAATTTTTATTAAAAATAATAATTAATTTAAGTAATTTAATTTGTTTAGAATTTGGATTTTTAAGTTATATAAGTTAAAATTATAATTAATTTTAATAAATGATTAATTTTAAATAAATCTTTATACTTTTTAATATTTACATAATAATAACAAATTTACTTGTAGTATATTTCGGTATGCAACATGTGTTGTATAATTTTCCTATATATATATATAAGATTAAAAAGAGGGTTTATTGTGTGGAGCATCCCTGATCGGCACAACACTGTATATCATCCAAATGTGCGTCTTCAACCACGATAGGAGGTGCAAAGAAAGTCCGAGAGCGAAACTGATCCGACCAAGCTAAACCAGCCAAACCATCAGCAACTGTATTACATCAGCCAAACCAAGCAATTTAAAGTTTTTTAATCACTTCCGTTTAGCATTCGTATATATTTTTGTGTTTAATTTTTACTTGACCCTGATTAAATTTTATTTAAACCTTGTTCACGTTAAAATCTGATGCTCATCCTATTTCACATTTTAAGTTAGTTTCTTCTTCATCTGGGGTTTTCCGCTATTTTTTCTTCTTTCCAATCTCCCCCAAATCATCATTTAAAGTATGTATTACGCATGTGCACAGGCAGGTGGTAAATGGTTTATTTGTTAGTGACGGGGAGCCTTTTCTGTTCCATTTTTGCAGGGATTTCAAAGCTTTGTTGACAGCAGCTGCATTGTATGGTTTTGTGCCTTCTAGTCTTTTTGCTTCACCATCAATTTTCACACTGTTTCATCTCAGAAAATAGAATGTCTGAATCCAATCCAAACTCACCTTGCACCAAGCTTCCTGATTTCCAAGCAACCCAAGTACATAATTAAATATATATTATTATTTTTAAAACAATTCCTACCCGAGGAGAAGGGAATTATACCCCTAATAGGTATTGAACCCATAACCTAAAAAAATGAGGTGTCAACTGAAAGGTTTTAACTATATATTCTAGATATTATGTGAATTGCTCATCTATCTCAGTTGGTAGAGCGCAAGGATCTTAACCTTGTGGTCATGGGGATCGAGTTCCACTGAGGGCAATTCATAACGGATGTCTTCCACGGAAGCTGCTCTCAACCTGGCGTTGGAGGTAACCTACTACCCTACATCCCCCTTACCTCATTACATATGAGAATAGAGTCAGTTAATTTTTTTTATTCTAGATATTATTAATATATATCAAAGAATTTTATGAAACATAATAACACTATGTAATAAAATAAATTTAACTTTTAATTACTAAATTGATTTAAAAGTGAAATTTATATAAAAGTTTATACAAATTAATTCATTATGCATGTTTTTTTTTAATTTTTAACAATACATACATTTTTTATATTTTATTATAATTAGATCTTAGGAAAAATATATAAATATTAAGGATTAAATTATATTATTATTAATAATTATTAATTCAATTAACTTTAATTTTTTTTATTAAATTTAATTCCATCAAATACTCCCTCCAAGTGAAAATAGTCATATTTTCTTAAACAATAGGAGTAATCCTATTCAAGGGTTTTTCTTTTCCTATCAGTATTATTATTTTTAACTTAAAATGATATTGGAATATATTGAACTAAAAGAAGATATAATTTTAACAATACAATCAATTAAAGAGAGAATTTTAAGAATAATGCCAATAAAAAAACTCAAGTATAAAATCAAATAAAAAGAACATTCAAGGGACCGAAATTTTTTTGTTGTTGTTGAATTTGTTATACATCATTCATAATAGCCCATTAATCATCAATATTATTCTTCTATCTCTATCCAACTAAATGCTTTAGAGGTGATGAAGGAGTTGCGAATGAACCAAAGCAAACTTACAAGTTGTTTCATAAAAAAAATATTTGAATACACTAATAAACAAATATAAAAGGGAATATAACCACTTAAAGATCATCGACAATTATAAATCATATACAAGCGATGTGAGAATATTTATATGATCACATATCTATTACAAATGTAGACGAACAACGTGTCACAAGAATAGAAACAAGTGCTACAAGAATAGAGTAACACGTGCCGCAAGAACATAGTTAAAACATGTTAAAAAGATAGATAAACATACACAAAATACATGAAAAATAACAAGTTAAACAAAAGAGATTTTTGTTAAAAGTTAGAAAAATATTAAATATAAATAAATAGAATAGAATATGAGAAAATAATAAAAAGGATGAACACTGATGATCGACCATTAACACAGAGATTAATACTATCGCTGGTTAAATAAAAAGAAAAATTTACGGCTGATAAAGGAGAAGAGAGGAAAAAACTATGATTTGTTTTTAATTTGTTTTTTCCTATCAATATTATTAAATAAAAGAACATATTTTTTTTTGTTTACCATGTTTAAGACCATCTCCAACGCTATTTTACTATAGCGTTTTTCGGCATTGTAGCATCTCCAATCCTGCGCTACATTTTGCTTTACTGTGAAAAATTGCTATAGTGTCGTGCCACATCTAATATGGCACCGTAGTTTGTGTTATATTTTTTTAAATTAAAATATATTAAATTGTAAGATAAATAAAAATATATTTAAATTAGATAAATAATCATATTAATTTTTTTTTGTAATTTTTTGTATTTTTGTATTTTTATATATTTGTAAAATTAATATCATAATAATTAAATATTATGAATAAAATAAAATAAATGGTAATATAAAATTAACGCTTGAAGATAAATTACTGTTTTATTTTTATAATAGAAATAGAAATGCACTATAAAATATAGAGATAAGCAGCGGAGATGGTCTACTATATATAGATAGACACTGGAGTTTAGGACTAGCTTTGTCCGCTCAGTTTTTGCCCCACCTCCGTTACTTTATCTCTCTCTCTCTCTTTCACTTTCTCTGTCTCAAATTATTTTGTCTTTATTCCCTCTTGATATCAAAATCTTTAAACGGAAGCAAGTCTGCTCCGAGACCGAGTTAAAAAGCTTAAACCATAGCACCTATGAACCAAACACTTAAAACGAACAACTTTGCACTTCACAAGTTACTGTCTTTAGTGCAAGTAAGAACACCCAATGCTCCATCTCTTGAATCTTGAGTTTCCCTTGTAGGTTGGATTGTGGGGAGTGTTCTCTATATGGATTTTGGGGTGGTGGGTTTGGAGGGGTTCGTGGGTTCAGAGGCTACTAATACTGGTTTTACTTCTCTTGCTTCAGATCCTGAGACGATGCAAAAATGGTATGGGTCCGGGTTCCTCAAGCAAGAGAGATCTGGAAATAATGAGGACGACAGGAGGAGTTCAAAGCTTGCCAAATTTGACGCTTTCTCAGCCTCCAAGGCAACGTTCCTGAACCAGAGAAATACTTCACTGAGATCCAATACCTCTATCTTCTCTGACGGACAACAGCAGCAACAAATACTGAGCTTTTCAGCTCCCAAATCAGAAGTTATTTCAGTGGATAGGGGCTCTCAAAATGTCGCATTTCCTTACTTTAACCTCACATCACCTGCTTACACTAGAAACACAGGTATATATATACATATGTCGAAAGATGTTAAGATTCTAACATTATTACCTATTCAAAATATCATTTGAGGAAGTATGGAAGGGGTGAAATGGCTTTGACATGTCGGTTGGCGCAAAGACTCGACATGTTTTCTTATTGGTTTTCTGGTTTGATTCCATGGGTTCTGGTGAAGGTCTGTCTTTTCATGGAAATCTATGAGCTGTCTTTTGTTTCAAGTCTTGTCAAAATAAAAGTGAGGTTCTCTATTTTTCTTCTTCCTGTCTTGGGAGAGCAGTATTTTTGGTGAATAAATCAAACAGTGACTATGGGAGAGAGAAGAAACCCAAAAGGTTTCATCCTTGATTGTTTTTTCTTTTCTTTTGTGTTCTTTAAAATTCTATTGCACTGCTTTGAAAGCCTTGAAATGTTGGCTTTTCCCTCGTCATTTTTATTTTAGTTTTGTTTCAATGTTTTTCCTTTTAACCTTTACTTGTTTTTCCTTGTTTTTATGGTAAAGGCTACAGCAGTGGAGGATTTAATGGTGCAAACATGCATGGGGTGTTAACAGGAGCTAGAGGACCATTCACTCCATCTCAATGGATGGAGCTGGAACACCAGGCTTTGATCTACAAATACATAACTTCTAATGCGCCCATACCATCTAATCTTCTCATTCCAATAAGAAAATCCCTTGATTCTGCTAATTTTTCTATTTTCTCTGGTGGACTCGGACCCAATACATGTAAGTTGTCTCTTCTCAGAGAAACAAAGAAAGGAAAAACTTTTCCCCCCTTTTTCTATGATGTCCATATAATTTCCATGCTTGATGCAAAAGTTGCATCAAATACTACTCTCTCTCTCTCTCTCTCTCTCTCTCTCATAATGATTCGGGAGTAGGAAGGGGAGAGGGTCCAGTTAGTGATGCACTTTACTTTGTGTTCTTATTGGCGAAGTACTTTATGGGGTTTCTATTATCCTTTTATCTTTTCTCCCCCAAACTGTGAATACAGAAAACACTGTTCAACTATGCCAAAACAATGCACTACACGCGCTACTTGACTTCAAAATTAGTTTGAATCAAAAGCATCACCGTCAACACACTTCAAATCTAACCTATAGCTCATTGCTACATTTGTTTTGGTCCCATATACGACAAGGCAACTTCACATTAGCTTTTTTTAACTAAAGCAGTGTTTGGTAAAACTAAAATCAATGGTAAACCAGAAAGTTTAATTTTGTACTAAACGCACTTTAGCTAACAGATGCTTTTGAGTGTAGCATTTGGTAACTGTTGGTATTTTGTTGCTTTGTTAATCTGTTTTATTAACATGTTTTTATTAATGATGTTGCGGAAGTGGGATGGGGAGCTTTTCATCTTGGGTTCTCAAACAACACTGATCCAGAACCAGGACGTTGTCGTAGAACGGATGGAAAGAAATGGCGGTGTTCAAGAGATGCGGTTGCCGACCAGAAGTATTGCGAGCGGCATATGAACAGGGGCCGCCATCGTTCAAGAAAGCCTGTGGAAGGTCAATCCGGTCATTCCGCCGCCGCCACTACCACCAAGCTGATGCCTACTGTCTCATCCTCACCAGCATCAGGGGTAGGACCAACCAGTGGCAGCGGCGCGTCCAACAGCCTCTCCATTGCACAAAAGCAGTTGAAGAATTTGCAGCCTGGTAGTGCATCTAACCTTTACGCGGAAGCTCCACTGAACAGGTGACAGAATTATCCCCTCAGCATTCATTCATTCCCTGTTTGTAAGCTGTTGTTGATAACATTTATCTTGGCATGGTAGGTTGCCTGGCCTGCCTTCTGCCCATTGTTATTCTTATCTTGTCTTGCTTTCTAAAGAATAATAATGGTAGATTGTAGAATCTACTTATCTTCTGCCATTCCTGCAGTGACTGGTCTCACTAGTTACTGTTAGGGAAGGTTCTTGTAACAGATTGTTTAATACCCTGTTACTGTAAAATTCTAATTCTATTACGGTTGCTTCTCTTCCAGGCTTCCGAGTAAAGACACAGTGGGTGAAAGAATACATGACACCACACCAGGACTCACCATGACATCCCTAACCGGCGACCTAAAATCTAAAGAAAACCCCTTATTGATCCCGAAGCAGCAGATCTCATATGAGCAAAACTCAAGAACCGAGTTTGGAGTTGTTTCCTCTGACTCACTTCTGAATCCATCTCATAAAGATTCTTCGTTGACCAAATGCAGAAATTTTGGTTCCTCTCTAGATCTTACCAATCAAGAAACTGAAAGCCAACATTCCCTTCGTCAGTTCATGGATGAGTGGCCTAAAACCCAGTCTGATCGTTCAGCCATTTCCTGGCCTGGGGTTGATGTTACCCAACTTACCATTTCAGTACCCATGGCTGCCTCTGATTTTATTTCCTTTACTTCCTCTACCAACAATGAGAAAGTAACACTGTCCCCTCTCAGATTATCATGTGAGTTCGATCCTATACACATGGGCTTGGGAGTGGGCAGTGTTATCAGTGAATCAAACCAGAGGCAATCAAGTTGGATTCCCATCTCTTGGGAGTCATCCATGGGTGGTCCTCTTGGTGAGGTTTTGCATAGTACTAACAGTAGCACGGGTGAGTGTAAGAACACATCAGCACTTAACCTCATGACAGAGGGCTGGGATAATAGTCCTCGGTTAGGATCATCTACGACCGGTGTCCTACAAAAGACTACGTTTGGTTCTCTTCCTAATAGCAGCGCCGGAAGCAGTCCGAGAGCTGAGAACAAGAAGAAAAATGAAAGTGCTAGCCTTCGCAATAATCTCCTTTGTTCAACCCTTGTTCAGCCTTCCTCTCTGCCTGCTCTATAACCAACTCTCAGCAACTGCAAAATCACTAGGTTGAGGGAGAATGGAGTAATGGGGAAGCATGAATTTTATCTGTCTCACAAACAAGGAACAATTACTTATGAAAGCCTTATATTATTATGTTAATCCTTTTAATTTAGTAATTTGTACTTCTTTGCCATGATTTGTTCCTTAATTTTAGAGATTAAACTTGGTTACAAGTAATTAGGCAAACGCAGTTTGTCTAAATTATGGAAGTACGATTGGGAACAAAATTTTTGTTTTTTTTTTTCACCTTTACTTGCAATGTATGGTAATGACTTGTGTTGGTAACCTGCAAGCATGGCGTAGTAAACATAATCTGTGTTTTTCACTGCTTAGAACTACAAGCCTCGCTGTTACCTTTAACTGCAATTGTCTAGCAAGAAGGAACTCATTTCTTGAACAATAAACTTTAAGTCAAAGTTAACACTCATCAACAACTGTATATATTTTTTTATTAATCAACAACAGTAAAATGTACCTTTCCAACAAACTTTCAAGCAAAGCCTGGATGTGACTTACCATTATCACTTGCATGTTGGCAACTAACAATCCATCTATGCCACTGTGCTCCACAGGCACAAAGAATAATTATTGGTATCTGGTTAGCTCTTACTGCAATCTATGTATTTCCCACTCCGGTTGAATGCGGATATGAAACATATGTTATATGAGTAATATTTCATATATCAAGAGTATCATACCTTTATACCATATTTAAGCACGAGTAATACTCAAGTACTGATTTTAAAGATAATATAGACTGCAACTGCCAGAATCAAAATGACCTCTGCATGTAATTGTTTTAAGCATTAGATACTCTTTCACAAGATTTACAGATTTCTTCATGCATAAGAGCTCATCAACAGAGAATAAATACTTTCCCACACCCATTTACTCCAATAACCTAACCAATTACACTCCATCGTCTCATCATTAAAGATCTCCTTTGTTTCAGACCATAAAAGTAAATACTCGTGGAAAACGAGAATACATACAGACATTAAAGTTACAACTTAAATAGATGAAACATGAAGGGTATATAAATGTTTGTTTTATTTTCTGGTGCGAAATCGATTTATTTTATTGCAAGTTACAGCGATCTATAATAAGGAAAACAAAATCACCAATTGTGGTTCACCCGTTTACTGAGATGAAGCTTAACTGCTCAATCAATAGTCCCACAGTGGAATAGGAAACATTCATGCAAAACAACCATATAGATTCTAACATTAAACTAAACCATTCGCAGTAAAACCTGAAAGACGCATTACCATTCCTTACCAACCTAAGCACCAGGTTTGGTAGGAAATTAATTTATACTTGATAACATATGACCGAACACTATGTCTAAAAAGATTCTTGTCCCATCCTCCAAAAATATGTAGAAAGATCAAATACACAAGTTGGGCATATATCCGCTCACACCTGTCTAACATATGTAATAAAGAGGGAAAATAATCAGGTCTGGTTCACCTATCTACGGAACTAAACCTTAAATGCTCAAGCAATTATTCATTTGTCTAACTAGAATACAGCTATGTTCGGGAAGAACATTTAAATACAAACATTAAAATGCTACCTTTAGCAGAATACTAACATAAAATTGATGTGGCAACTCTTAAGTTTGGTCAGCAGTTCTGATCATCAGAAGTCTGGTTTACTGATTTACAGGCTGAACCAGGGACGGACGCAAGATTTTATATTAGAAGGGGCGAACTTATTAAATTTTAAAGGAGAGATGAACTTATAAAATTTTAGGAGGGACAAAAACAGATCTTCAACTAAAAATACAAAGAAAATATTTAAATTACATAAGAATTTAAATTTTGTAGGGGGGCGGTCGTCCATCCCTGGGTTCAACATCAGCTGCTGTAGCAGAAAGCAGTTGAGAAGCCTGTAAAGAACATTGACAACCTTATTCTTATCAAGTAATTGATTGCTAGCATTAACCAAGTGTCGTAACCAGTTTTCGTCCGGGCACGAAATATTATACTTGGCGGGGAAATTGATGTGAATAAATAATTTTTAAAATAATTTGGGAGTCGCCATCGGCCTTTTGGATCAGGTAGGTCGAATACCTAAAAATTATTATTATTATTTTTTTTTAAAAAGGTTTTAAGTAAACATCAATTTTAAAAAAAAATGAACTGATCTGCGTTTTATAACCAAAAATTCGTTCTTTTTTTATTTTTAAGATAAAAAGGGATTCGTGGTCGGTTACGTTTAGGGAATGATTAGCACCCCTACAACGCCCAAAAATTGGTACTTTTTAATTATAAATTGTCTCTATTATTAAAATTTTAAAAATTCAAAAATATATTTAAATTATAATCCTATTATTTCAAACTTATATAAAAAATATTTATTTATTTAAAAATATCAGAAAAGAACTTCTAGGTGCCTTAAGACAGCTCATTTCTTTGATATTGATAAATATTAATTTAAATAATATTGTTTAATTTTTAATTTTAAAATATCAGAATAGGACATCCAGTTGTATTAAGACTGTCCTTTTCTTCGATATTAAAAATAAATTTTTTTAAAAATTACTATTTATTATATATATATTTATGAATACATAAAAATATTTTAAAAATATAAACAAATAAAATAAAAAAAACCACTAAAACAATATATTTTAAAAGCAGTAAAATAAATGAAAACATATAAATGACTAAATTATAGTAAAAATAAAATTTAAAAATCTAATTTATAATTAATCAAATTATAGGGATTAAACATGCTATTTCTTTATTTTATTTATTTAATGACTAAAATAAAATTATCTAAAATTCGGATATTAGAATAAAATAAATTAAAAATATAAACTAGGGATTAAAATATTATTTATTAAAATTAAGGGATTAAATCTGTTATTTATCCTAAATATATTATTTTAATAAAAAGGACTAAAATAATAAAATTAAATTTCGAGATCAAATTAAAGTATTATGAATTCGATTTAGTGACTAAAATGTAAAGTTTACAAGTTAGAAGGACTGCGGACGGGGTTTAACTATTATCTAATTACGCGCATAGTCCTTCCCGAAACGACGTCGTTCGGGAAGGCCTATATAAGGTCAAAACCGGCTGGCCCGAAGGGCCAGCTTCATTTCATTTTTTTTCTTTCTCTCTCAAACAGAGAGAGCTCTGGCTTCTCTCTAGCTTCCCTCATCGGAGGGAAGCCGGTCACCGGACGGCAACCGTCTGCCGCCGTGACCGTCATCACCGGCCACCGCATCCGGTGGCCGAAAAATTTATTTTTTTACACCATTAAATAGATCGGGATGTCCTAAGGACGTTTCCGGTGTTCTTTTTCTTTAAAAAGCTCCTAATCGGAGCGAATCTACAAAAATACCTTCGGTGTTTCGAAGGTTCCGGCGAGATCCGGTGGTCGAGGCTTCCTCGGTAAGTTTCTTTCCTTCCTTTTTCTTTCTTTTCTGTTTCTTTGCTGCTGAGATCGTTGGTAGTATTTTGTATATATTTTTTTTCTCGGTTTTGTCTCTTGTTTCTCTGTATCTTTCTCTTTGTTCCTCTTTTTTTGTCTCTGTCCCTGGTTTTTTTTCAGGTTCGGGTGGTGGCTAAGCCACCACCGGTGTGGCCATCGGACCGGTCCGAAGAGGGGGTCTCGGTGAGTCACCGGACTACCAGTGGTGACTCACCCCGTAGCCATGGCGTGGACGGCTGGCGTTGGAGCTTCTGGAGCCTTTGGTTGGGACGTGGCAGCGACGGAGGCGGCGAGAACAGCAACGGCGGCCGCGTGGCCCTAGGGTATCAGACCCTAGGGTTTCCATCTGGAGCCATCTGGACCGTTGGATCTTGCCAGATCCAACGGCAGCAAGCTGAGGCGGCTGGGATTAGGGTTTAGGAAACCCTAACTGAAACCCTAAATGTTTTTGGGTTTCAGTTTGGTTTGGGCCAGAAACTTGATTTGTAATTAATTATTTTTTTAATAATATTTATATATGTATTTAATATATTTAATAATAATAATAATAATAATAATTATAATAATAATAATTAATTAATATGGGTAAAAAATTAGTATCTTCAGCTGCCCCTCTTTGCTCATTCTTGTGTTAACAAGAATAGGGCAAAGATGAAAAGATAATAAAATTTTTTATCCATTTGGCTTCACTTGATCATAATGGAGATATTGAATAAATTCTTCTCTTTCTTCAAATGAGTTCTTCTCATTATGAACTTTCTGCTGGGGATGATGTTGATCTTTCTTTCTGTGATAGAGTCATTCAAAAGGTTGAATAAGCTTTTGATGAATTCTTCTCATTATGAACTTTCTCTAGAAAGGCTGATGCTAATCTATCTCCTTCTGTGATAGGATTATGCAAAAAGTTGTCTTCTTTCTTCTTCAGATGAGTTCTTCTCATTATGAACTTCTCTGAAAATGTTGATCCATCAATTGATGAATTCATGTAAAAGGTTAAACAAGCTCTTCTCATTATGAACTTTCTCTTCCTTCTTCAGATGAGTTCTTCTCATTATGAACTTTCTCTGGAAAAGATGATCCATCAAGTGATGAATTCAGACAAAAGGTTGAACAAATTCTTCTCATTATGAACTTCTTCTTCCTTCTTCTGATGAGTTCTTCTCATTATGAACTTCTCTGGAAAAGATGATCCATCAAATGATGGATTCAGGTAAAAGGTTGAACAAATTCTTCTCATTATGAACTTCTTCTTCCTTATTCAGATGAGTTCTTCTCATTATGAACTTCTCTGGAAAAGATGATCCATCAAATGATGGATTCAGATAAAAGGTTGAACAAATTCTTCTCATTATGAACTTCTTCTTCCTTCTTCAGATGAATTCTTCTCATTATGAACTTCTCTGGAAAAGATGATCCATCCAATGATGGATTCAGGTAAAAGGTTGAACAAATTCTTCTCATTATGAACTTCTTCTTCCTTCTTCAGATGAGTTCTTCTCATTATGAACTTCTCTGGAAAAGATGATCCATCAAATGATAGATTTGAATCTTTGCTAAAATCTTTGAAATTCCTGTTAAAAATTCAACATGAATAAAAATGAATGAAAATGCACCTATTTTTGAAAATGCCTAAATATGATGCATGAATGTTAAGTTATTTGATTTCAGATTGGTGAACTGAGTATTTCTTCAGTCGTAGAAACCCAATAGATCTTTCTTCTTCAAATCAGAGAATCTATCATCTTTGACAAATGTAGATATAATGTCACAAGAT